AGTCTTAAGTATTTTTATTCGGTTTATTGTAATTTCCCCACTCCTTCATAGTATACTGCTTCACAATATGTTGATGCGTCACATTGTGCAGTTCTTGGGAGATTTTGGCGGCAACTTGATCCAGCAGACAGCTGATAGTTGGCGATGGTATCTAAAGGTGCCTATGCAAACAAACAGCTTATCTTGAGAATCCATCACCATCAGAGCACTTGTTTCACTGTTTCCACTAATAGTTCACATGCGTAGACACTTAATACACAAAATCGCAACACTTTTACATATCAAAGTCCATTTCAAACCATTATTTAAACAATAATACAGGAGCAGCAAACCGCCGCCGGTCAATTTCCCGCCAAAACTCGCACTTTTAGTTGTTAATGATATAAGTGGCCAGCTCGGTAGAGAATAATTGTATTCTGTGGTGGCCAGTGTCTTACACATAAACTTTTTCGCAAAACTTTCTGCGTGGCGTATTACGGAATTAAAACCTTAGTTTAACAACTTATCTTAAAACTTAGTGAAACTCTTTGATCTTATCACATCAAATAATGTAGTGTTGCAAGTTAGAAAAATAAAAAAAGTTTTGAGAAATTAACTTCGTTACAAAATTGTTTTGTAGCGAAATTAACTTGTGATATTATTTAATGTTAAATCATTGGTCTATAATATTTAATCTCACAGTACAGTAACTAACACGTTCATTACTTAATAATACTATAGAGTGTAGAGTACAAGGAGAACCATCTTATAAGGGGCTAAAGTTGAAAAAGTGTCCTACTATTTACTGAAAATAGAGGTTCCAAAACCTACCACAATAGCGCTGGCGTCTAAAAACTACGATATGAAGATAGCTGTTGTGAACGGAGTGAAGTCAGCTGAATTCAAATATTTAAAAAACTTTATGACTAGAGTAGTTAGTAAAATGCCAGTATACAAAATCTTAACTATTTACGTAGTACAAAACCAAGCGGATTGGTCGGTCCTTGTTTATTTCTCCATCTTATTCTAATTAATTTTGGCGCTTTTTTTAATTTATCCTATGCTACTGCAGCGCCACCCTTATTGGACACGTTTTTAGGGACACTTCTCTCTACACTCCATAAAAAATACTAATCTAATATTCATAGATAAAAAAATCTAGTTATGCTTAATTTTTTATTTATTATATTTAAGTACATACTTAAAACATTCGTACTAAGCAAAAATTATATACGTGCGTCGTACTAATAATATCTAAATATAGTATGTAGAAGTTATTTATTAATAAATTGAATAGTTGCCCAGACTACTACAAAACACTACGGTTGACTCTTGAAAACCAAAAGTTACACAGCGTGTCACGCTTAGCTTAAAAATGTTCTAAATGCATGCAGTGCTTAGATTTGATACACAAAACTGGCATAGATTATACATTATAAATACGGGAAAACCTAGAGACTCATATAGATGTAGGTATCTATTATTCATGAAGCTCTAGTGTACTGTCCACGTTGGAGAAATCCGAAGGACTAACATACAGGGTACTTTAGTACGGCGAGCTCAAGTCCATCAGTGTTAAGGTACGTACGCTTGTATTCCACGCCATGTGTGTTGCCAAAAAGTTCAATGGCACACAGCAAGCAACAGTATTCCCCCGTCACGGGTTGTTAATCGAACGTACTAACCCTTAGTATTCAAATACAAATCGTTGTTCATTGATGTGAAACATCCATGGGTGACTTGGCAGTAAAACCGATTCGTATACCGTGACGGCAAACGGCATGATGCTCTTTTATGCCATCCGTTCTCCTCAACGCCCCCGAACTCAATCGATTGTGTGTGCGTGCGCGTTCCTTTTCTGTATGAGTTGATTATTGCGTGTGCTTTTCAATTCGCTTACAGTATATACTTGACGCGTTCACCGTTTGTACGCACTCTATTCCCTTTTAATATTATTGTTTTTGAAAAGACATGGGTTATTTCTGTATTTAGTTCACTCGATATTATTTTAATGAATTTTATTAATTATAAATTATACCATCAACTATATTTCATATCTGCGAACGTCCTGTGACGGCCAACATTTTTTAATTTAATTATTAAATAATATAATGTTTTGGGTATGTTTACCAACATAGGCCCTCATACAATATCCGGATCAGTTAAGCGACTGATCCGAGTCTGTATCCGAGTTGTCGCTGTCGCTAAGGGTTAGTGTTATAAAGTTTTTGTTTTTTTTTTTAATTTGTGTGTGAAGTTGTTAGTATGTTGTTTTAATTATTATGTGTGAGTTTCGTAGTTACATACGATTTTTTTGTCTGCGCAGATTTCCTTCCGCAAAAAATAACAGACAGTTTTGTAGAAATTGGGGAAAAGCGCCTTGGCTACTTCCCTCCAGTCCGCTAGTGGCCCACTTCTTCTTCTTAATAACTGGCTTTACGGCTCTGGGATCTAGCCCTTCTGAGCCTGAATTTACAATATATTATAATTATTATCCTTTATAATATACTGCTTTACAATATATATATACGGCAACTTGAGCCAGCAGACAGCTCACGGTTGGCGATGGTATCTCAAGGCACCTAAGCAGACAGACACCTTATTTTGAGATTCACATCACCATCACGTCCACTTCAAACCATTATTTAAACAATAATACAGGAGTAGCAAACCGCCGCCGGTCAAGTTCCCGCCATAACTCCGCGAAGCGGAGATATGTGATTCCTCTACAGTTATCCTCCTCCACTCTTTTCTTTCTGGTCTTAAAGAGATCATTCATTTTTGTAGTCTATTATAGGAATGACAAGAAACCTGATAATACTTAAAGCATTATATGGAGAGGTTCAGAATATTATCACAGAGTAGACGGATCAATAAAAAAAAAACGATCGTCTGTCACTACGAAACTTACACATAACAATCAAAACGATATAATAATAATTTCACACACACATAGATATATCATAACACTATCGCTAGATGACAGCGACAAATCGGATACAGACTCGGATCAGTCACTCGACCGATCTGTATGTTTTTGGCAAACAATTCCCAATGAACACGACCGTTATTATTGTAAATTTAAGTTTAAAAAGAAGTAAATAGCAATAATGGTGTGTTAAAGGTTTCACGCGACAAATCTCTTTTTACAGCAAAAAGAAGAAGAATTTAGCAATTTTGTAAAACGACGATTCGGCCTCGTACATTTAGTCTAGTGAACAGTACGGCTGTAACTAGTTTTATTGTACGCATAAGACCTCGTGGACTTATACTTTGACAAAGGAAAACGCCTCCGTATGGCTACTCTCCTCCTATCCACCGATGGCCCTTGTTGTTCTATAATAAATTAAATGCTCAATCACGATTAAAGGTTAAACAAAAGTGAAACACCTTAACTTACAAAAATAGTTATAAAACAATCCATGTCGGAAGGCCAAATAGGCCTCTAAAAAGCTTGGCGTGCTCAGCAGAGTGAGACAGTATTTCATGCCGGCACATGGCTTGCAACTTTACAAAGCGCAAATCCGGCCTCACATGGAATACTGTTCTCATCTCTGGGCCGGGGCACCCCAGTACCAGCTCCTTCCACTTGACCGCATCCAGCGCAGAGTAGTTCGAATAGTCGATGACCGAGTTCTTTCTGATCGGCTCGATACACTGGCACTGCGTAGAGATGTTGCAACTCTTTGCGTATTTTATCGCATTTACCACGAGGAGTGCTCTGAGGAATTGTTCGGACTAATTCCAGCCGCTCAATTTCACCATTGCACATCGCGACAAAACTTGCGATACCATCCACCTAGATGATTGGCGGTCCACCACTGTGCGATTTAGAAGATGTTTTCTTCCTCGCATAACTTCCTTGTGGAATCAATTACCATCTGCGATTTTTCCGGACCGTTACGACTTAGGGACCTTCAAGAAAAGAACCTACTCCTTTTTAAAAGGCCGGCAACGCATCTGCAATTCCCCTAGTGTTGCGGTTGTTCATGGGCGGCGATAGTCACTTACCATCAGATGAGCCGCATGCTCGTTTGCCTCCTCTCCTATAAAAAAAATATTATTTAGTATCATATAATGTACACGAAAAACTACTCTGACTCGTCTGATAGCAGTTTTAGGCCACCATCATACATTCGGAATTCCGTTTTTAATGCAAAATTTCGAATGGGAAAACTACTGTACGTGAGTAAAAGGTCCTTCATTTTATTTGAACTTGCTGCGTTCGAAATCCCCAATCGGAATTCCGAATGTATGCGGCCGGCCTTAGGCCGAAACACACACTGCGTTTCGTGGTGGCACCTTAACTACATTGCTGCATGGACTCTACAAGGAATTCAGTAGTATAATATACAGAACTTTACTTTGTGCATACGGCTTCGCAATGCAACGGTGGTTGATTTAAGTTTGGGGCTAAAACGTAGTGACATACTCTTTGTTTGGCGGTATAAGGCCGGCCAAATACATTCGGAATTCTGTTTTGCTCGCAAAATTTCGATCGGAAAACTACTGTACGTGTGTGATAGATCCTTGATATTATATGGATTTACCGCATTTGGAATTCCGAATCGGAATTCAAAAACGGAATTCCGAAACGCAATCCCGAATGTATGTGGCAGGCCTTAAGCATTGTGGACAATAACTATATATGGCACTAGAAACTAGAAGTGGTAATAACCTCTTACTCTCTTACCGCTTTGGCGTTGGCGTCCATGCGATGAAACGCAGATGTTGCACTGCATCTAGTCATTGTGTTTCATATAAAATATTTATGTAAATATTTATGTATTAGTATAAGATGCTGCACGGTATCACTAAGGAGCCGTATCGCATTATGTAGCTTAGATTTTATTTTTCTGGTCAAGATCTGGAATGTATAGCTTTCCTTTAAAGGGCAGATATTTTATTCTTTGGTATTGCCATTATAAATTATGATGTAAAATATATTGCTTTAACTTATTCACTTTTACCGTTTTTTTTTCAAACCAAATATTAATAATTTATAACTTATTTAATTATAGAAATCATTTGGGGCATGTGATCGCCAGTTATCGGCTTTTTCGTCGTACGTGAGAGCCGCATGCTCCTTAAACACAACAGCTGGTGGCATAGGTAATTTGTTCACTCGCAAAATGGCGGTCAGTGCAAATACATCTTGTCCGTGGCCTAATACCCAGGACGATTATGAATTACGAGATGTTATCGGTACGTACAAGTGTTTTTTATTTAAATTAATGTTTGACAATTTTGAAAATTATGATTAAATACACTGTAGATATCCAGTTATTGGGGATACAAATAAAAATATTTCATAAGAGTATTTTGGGGCTGTCAAATATTAAGTCAAGGATGTCACTATTTTCCTAAATTATTTCTCCCATAAAATATTGTAGGTTGAAATCCTGAAAATTTTAGGATTTTAATCATAGTTTTTATGGATAAAGCATTTTATCTGTAACTACAACTATCTAAATGAAAGGTTAGTTCTTTACAAACAAGTCAATCTATAACATTTTACTGACATTGCAAAGCTAACATGCAGAATTAATAAAATGGTTTACAGTTTACATTTAAAAGGGCCACGTTGAGAGTCTCAACTGAAATATGATTTTCAACTTATGTCACTAACTCGTCTATAAAATCTAATATCTACATTGTTTTCGTAAAGTCTTATTTGTTACGGATATGCCCCCCAAAATATGCCATTAGTCTTCTTTTATCTTTTAGTTTTAAGTATATACATACTTAATATTATTTATTTTTCTAAATTGAAGTTAATTACAAATTAATTTTAATTTTACAAAATTTAAGTTTTAGAATAAGTAATGAAATCTAGTTTTTTTTAGTTAAATTATTTTAGCAATATAATAACTTTTTCATAATAAACTATTATTATGAAGTAATCAAACATAATAGTTCCCTATTGTCACTAGGTGTTGGTGCAACAGCTGTTGTTTATGGTGCTCTTTGTAAACCAAGGGGAGAAAAATGTGCTATCAAGAGAATTAACTTAGAAAAATGGAACACTTCTATGGATGAACTACTAAAGGAAATACAGGTATGAAACTCCAAATATTGTTTAAATCCTTTGCTGAAACTAGAGAATGTTCGTGAAATTTTCCACTAATAAGATATTTTTGGCAGTAAACCATTATTTTTCACTTTCAAATTGCTAATAATATCTTTAGGCCAAAAGAATTACTCTGTATGTGTTAATTTTGTGATTAGAAGTTAATTAAAACATACTCTAATCAGTTCTTGGCGCTATGATGTTAACAAATTGAGTTGTGTAGTAGTCTTGTAGAAAATCAAAATGCACCTGATAATGTGTACTGAACATTAATATGCTAAATGGTAAAACTATAGACATCTGGTACTCGCACACGGGGGTGGGAGGGGGAGGTTCAGGGGAATCCCTGGGTACCCTTCTCCCGTTGTAGAAATGTATAGTTTATGAGTAATATTTTTTTTTTATAATATCATAACCTTACCTTTTTACACAGTAATATTGACTCAAAGTTACTTCTGTAATGGCTTCGGCGCTGCGGGAAGTGCAGCCCCTTCGCCCTTGCGTAGCAAATCACAGGCATCCATGCTCACCTCCGCAGCTTCGGCTTGTTGGTTGCCTTCGGCGACCAGCCTCAGCCGCTATGGCTCACACAGTTGCCTGCGATTTGCTACAGCGGGCGGGGGCTGCTCTCCCTCCTCGCCTACGGCTTTACAAAAACACTCTAGGGGTAGGGTAGAAAAGACTATGTGGAGTCGGGGCGTTCTGATTCGGTTTTAGTACACATTCGACCTATCTTATTTATAAAGTCAGGTTCTAGCTTAACCTTGACAATTCTGCTAAACTGAAAACATAATAAAAATCAAGTACTCGATGTTACTTCATAATACTAGACCAAATTGACATACGAGTATTTGCGTTTTGTTAATGCAATATTTATTGAAATTTATTTTTATCATAATTAATTCAAAACGCATTTCCGACATCCAAATACAGTCTAAAAGATTCATACTTAACCCTGACAAGCCTCCTAAACTGAAAATATAATTAAAATCAAGTACTGGACGCCTACTTCATAATACTAGACCAAATCAACATATTTGCGTTTCGTTAATACACAATTTTTAGTGAAATTTATTTTTATCGTAATTATTTCAAAACGCATTTTCGACATCTAAAAACAGTGTAAAAGGTTCAAGCTTAACCCTAATAAGCCTCCTAAACTGAAAACATAATTAAAATCGAGTACCGGACGTCTATAGCCAACCCTGCTAAATAACTGTGGAAATCTTTTACCATTTATACTATTGTAACTTATTCATTAAATTACTAAAATCATTATCATCATTACCTTACAAATCAAGGGTCATTACAGTCCACTGTATATAGGCCTCCCCCAAGAAATGCCACAAAACACACCCTGTTCAACTTATATACTTTGACTTCCCACATATCTTACCATGTCATCACTCCATTTAATGGTCGACCAGCCTACACTCTGCTTATTGGTACTAGGTTACCACACAAAGATGACTTTCCTATTGGTGTTGGTTCTTTGAGATAATTTTTTTTTGATAATAACTCTATTTCATATTTACTTTTAAAAATGTCTCAAATGAGTCATCATCATAATCCTTCTCTGTTTTTGTTTGGAATATCACACAGCTGTCAATATTAAATTTAACAACAATATGGTGAGTAGTATGAGTAATATTAAAACTATAAGTTATATTCATTTGAATATAATCCATGTAATTCAATATGTACAGAACTGGAAATTTTTACTGCTAACTTGGCATGCCATTTTAGACCTCAGTGGTGACAATGCATCTAAATGTTGATTCTTAGTCTAGGACAGAGTTGTATCTAGGTGTCTGTGGGACACAGTATCCGATTATCATTAAGTATGGTAGAGTATGTGCTCACTTATCAATATTATTCTATAAAAATAATAAAGTAAATAGTAGTATTCATTAACAGAGTGCAATGCTATTTTTTGAGAAATGCTAATGCATATTGGCTAATAAGGTTGATTATCCTTTTTAACATCCATGGCTACATATAGTATCTAGAAACAAAATGTGGACATATGTCCATGGATACTAATGTATCCACGCTCATAATTTTACACCTTTTAAAACCTTTTTAAAGATACATCTATGGAGTGTGGATGAAAAGAATATGTGTTTATTAAAATTTTCTATGAAGTAATGTAACCCAATATCATATAGATGGCATGAAGTGTTGTAAATAAAAAATATTTACTTTAGTGCTGTGGGTACCCTTGCGAGCGCGACGTTTAACGCCAAAGCCAATAGTGATCGTGGGGCTTCTCGTTTGTTTATTTATAATTACAGTGGCTGATTATGATAAGGGTTGAATTTTCTATCATCAGAAAAAAGTAATTCATATGATAGAATACAATATAATAAAAATAAAAATTGTTGTTGTATGAATAAAATAGTTCAACATCATCATAATAACAGCACTTCACCAGTACCCTTCTGGACAATGCTTTTTGGAATGTAACATAGCACGGTCCCGATCCACCTGCATTCATCAACTTTCTGCATCTCTTACTAGTTCGTCACTCCATCTAGTATAGTCCACTGGAATCTTTTATATTCAAAATAGTAATGTACATACTGTAAATACTAGGAACTAAATATATAATAACCAAAGGAAAAGGGAAACTCTAAATATCTAAATCTGTTGTGATAAATTGCATTTAATTTTATTAGCATACTAGCTTGCCAGGCAGATGTTGTTCTGTACCTTTCCGACGACCCTTTCTATAAAAAAATCCTTAAATTCGCAATAAAAATATATTAAGGGTCACTTATCAGGATAAAAATTATCCTATCTCTCAAATTGGGGTAAACTGCACAGTGTGCAAAATATCATTAAAATCAATTCACTAGTTTATGAGTTTGTTGTGAACAAACAATGTGACATGTAATTTTTATGTATAAATATATTTTAATGATTTTTAAGGATATTTTTGTATTGCAGGCAATGTCCAGTTGCAACCACGAAAATGTAGTCACGTACTGTACAAGCTTTGTTGTAAATGATGAGCTGTGGCTTGTGTTAAGGCTCCTTGAAGGTAAGTTTGTTTACATAAACTCATTTGTTACACCTTCAAGCCTGTACACATTTGGCAAAGCACAGTGCAGTACTATTATCACTGCTAATAACTAATGTTGTGGACATTGAAATAATTACTGAAATTAATATATATTCATCAAAGAATCCCCCAATCTTAGAGTCCTACATCATACTTGGATAGGTTAGGATAATTGTCTTACAAGTTGTACATTTATCAATATGGTCGAAATTGACCCACTTACCAGCCATTAATTTTAATTTTACTATTTCACGTCACATAATTTATCATCATTATTTTTTATATTTAACAATAACATCCACACTTCAGAATTGATATTATTTTTAGGTTTCATTTATTTAAAATTTAGGTATAAAAATATAAACAGTATTTTACAATCTGGCATGATGCCATGCTAGTTTTACTTATAAAAGCTGAGTTGTTTTTTCTAATAATAGCTTGAAAAATGTTTATGAATATTTTTTATTTATTAGAGATAAATAATAATAAACTTAATACTCTTTGATTTTTTTATATACCGTGTTTGTTTCATATAAGTGATAATATTAAAAGCTTTAATTATTTATAACTCAACAAATGCGTGTGGTGCAGTTACTACACAGTCATTATTTTTAATCGACTTCAAAAAAGGAGGATATACTCAGTTCGATTGTATTTTATATGTGTGTTATAACCACAGAACTTTTTTCTAGGTGTACCGATTTTGATGATTCTTTTGTCATTTGAAAACTGGTGATTTGATGTGGTCCCATATAAATTTGATCAAGATCTGATCAGTAGTTTTTGAGTTATCTTTAATAATGCGTATTTAATTGATTTTGACTACATTGATGATGTTCTCTTTTTATTTATATTGAAGTCGGTTGTACAATTTTTTTTTAATTTTACCATTTATATATTATTTTGTACCATTGTTAAAACAATCAACATTTGACGTAATAACTAGAACTTTTATCAAATTCTTTACCTATACTAAATGTGGCATCTACTAAGCCCTTACGTGCCGTATAGTATTTTTTCTTTACTTTGTTATTTATACATAGTATTTATAAGTAAATAATTAAAGATTATTTTTATAAATAAATATGTTATTATTGTTATTGTGGAGCAATCTCGTTTATTTGTGATACGTATAAACCAGGATTTTTATTACTACGACTTCATTAAAAATTGTTTGTATTGTAAAGTATTGTATGACTAAAAATCGTAATGCGAAAGTCAGAGCAAAATTGTCAATAAAAAACAAAACAAGAAAAACATCTTAACGTTTTGTAACCCGACTGCGGTGAAATTCAAAAGAAGGTATGCGTTGTATATCTCAATCGATTTGTCACAATTGCGTGGGTAACACAGGACTTTACCAGTAATTCGTATTAGAATGTATTTCACATCAATATTTATTTATTGTTTTGCTCTTTATTTTATAAAACATATCACTACACGTCACACGATGAACTAAATATGGCCTTTTAAAATTGTACTGGTTTTTTTAACTTATTATAAGCGAGTTATTTTGATATTTTTCGACGGGTATTACCAAAACATTATACAATATACATATATTGACAAGAAAATGGATGTTTTTCTTTTTGATGGTCACTTTTCTTGGTACATTATTAAGGTACGACACAATTTCTACCAAGTCTTAATCCTTTTTCTTTAGGTGGCAGTCTGCTGGATGTAATAAAACATAAAATGAAGATATCAAATTGTAAACATGGAGTCTTTGATGAAGCTACTATTGCAACAGTCCTTAAAGAAGTTCTGAAGGGACTGGAGTACTTCCATAGCAATGGACAAATACACAGGTGAGAAATTATATAAAAAAGTAAATAAAACTTATTTTTATATTCCCAACGTTTCGAGCACTTTACAGCACCCACGGTGCCACGGTTCACGGTGGGGGACATAAAAATAAGTTAATATACGCGACAAAATTCGTAAAACCTAGTTTTATTTAATGTGTAGTGTTCGAGTGAACATAAGCAATCATTAAATAAAAGCTTTTAAAAAGTAAAGTCACAGCCGATATACTCGTATTATGTTCTACTAATAGGTACACAGGCCAGGCAGCAGTTTGTGCGCTTCTCCAATTCGTGTTGAATAACTTCACATGTCCTCCAAATGTTTATTCTTCAGGCATGCATATCTCACGATGTTTTCCACGGCCTAGCACTAAGTGAACCATGGTAGCGTGGTGCTAAGCGGTCGCCGTACATTTCTCAGTACGCAAGGGATCGCGCGCTCGAACTCCGTCGGCGCCAATAAAATCCTTAATTGCAATATTGAGTATTGATCTAAAACGTGCTCGGCGGCGAAGAAGACAGTTATATATTACGGCCTATTGATTTTTCTAAACATTATTATATAAATCAATTACAGTGTTCAAACTTTCGCTATGCAGACTATTTAAATTTGTATAATTGAAATATAATGTGCTCTGGCGTTAGCGAAAATTGCAATTGTATTATAATATGGGTGCGTTTATGAGCGAAAATACTAAAAGGGCTAATACATTTTCCTTGAAAAATTGATTAATGCACAGCACCTATCTGTTTAACGGTCATGCCATAATTGCCGAAAGGTATTTCATTAATAATTGGTTTGGCGTACGTTGACTATACTATATATATGATATGATGTTAAACTGAAAAAAATATATTAAATTGTAGTCAAAACACTGTTGCGTACTGACCCTGGATGACTGAGATGAAATGCATCGTTACCAGTAAAAAGGGACTCCGGTCTCTACTCTCACCATATGTAACAGTGCAGCATTATTCTGCTGTTTAACGCTGTTGTTCTGTGTCAGCGTGGTGCCACCCCGGTACCGAGACGACCCATTCGTGCTGCAGCTATGCTAGCTAGCATAGCTGCAGCGTGGCTCCACCATGTAACATTATTAATTATTATCACAAGTATTTTGAATATTTTACATGTCAAAAAAATATATGAGTCGGTATTCCGTCATAGACATTAGTGATAATCACTAATGTCTATGACGGAATACCAAACTTGAAGATATTCATTAGGTATGCAAAAACAGTTTCCTCTAACTTGTTTCTTTATCCTGAACGCTTTAAATATTTTACTTGGTGCATTTTATGACATTGCCTATATTGTGTGAAATTTGAATGAACTATAATATGCACAGCGACTTCCTGAACTCGCATTTTTCCCGTATACTGCATTGTTTTTACGTGTATTGTTTGCAGCCGTTGCGCTTCCGTTTGACGTTGAATTGAAATGAGTTACGATTTCAGATCATTTCCGTGTTTTGATGTATCATTTCACTGCTTGCTGTGCTAATTGTTAGGATAGTTAGCTTAATATTTACTTGCTTTTAGCTTTGCCACAATTGTGTTTTGTGGAATTCCTTACGAAGACCTACGTTTAGCAGAGGGCTGTAATGATGGCGATAATACTTATTTCAATTAGTAAAATGTTAGAGTTTCGGCAATTTTTAAAAGATGCTTAAATTTTTAAGACCAAAGTAACAATGTAATAATTTGTGAAGGTAAAGAGGTTTCTTCTTATCGCTCGCATTAGACATTATGTTAAATGCAGCGCTAATATTTTTTTTGTCACGTAAGCTTATAATTGATTGTAATCTATGACATAGCATTTTTAAATCTATGATAGTTGATAGCGTAATATACGATTATTAAAATAAGGGATTTTTTTGCTTTTGCGAGTAATATTCCATAAAAGTTTGTATAAAAATCTTTCAATATATTGTAACAAAAAAAAAGAATTGTGTTGAAAATATAACATCGGAGAAGATAAATAATTTATTGCAAAGCTTTATTAATAAATTGCTATGTTAAACAAGTATATTATGGTAAATTCTTTATTGAAGAAAGAACGACATACGGCACACATTCTATCTGATTGGAATTAATGAATTAAAATGATTTGTTGTCACACTTGAGAAATGTAAGGGAATGCCTCATTACCAGTAAGAAGAGATCTCCATTTTTGGTCACTAACCTTACGAAACACATAGTCAGTCGTATTATGCTGCAATTTCACGCTGGTGTTCTTTACGAGCGTTGTCCTTCCCCGGTCGAACCGACTAATTCGTATTGCGGCCATAATAAGTTGCAGTGTTAAGTTAATCAAGATGGGCTTTTAAATTTAATTTCTAGTGAAGGTTCGGTTCGTTTCTTATCCTAGTAATTATCAATTAGGTAATATTAAAAGAATTTGTGCCAATGCTGGCTACGCTTTGGTGCTGATAGATTTACTTTGACGTATCTCAAATATGCAGATTTTCCTTTAAATATGGATATATCTCGTACTTTAAATTGCAATCTTTGATCAACAAAGAAAGAAACACGGAGCGCTGCGTGCATTTAAATTGACGCAAAAACCAAAGCAAAGCCCTACTAAATTTATTGTAAGAACTCACAGAAACAGATTTTTATTATGTTCAATATAGATAATAAATAATACTTATCGAATGTCACTCTTTTGTTTAATTTACCACTGGTTCGGAAAAAAAATCTGTCCCGGAAAGAACCAGCAAGAAACCCAGCGGGACTTTTTTTTGAATAAAAATAACAGCTTACAGTTATACATATTAACAACACCAAAGCGATCACCTCATTTGCAGGGGTTATTATAATTCCATAATATTATAATAACCCTTTTTATAAAAACCTTTATTCAAAACTTTGTTTAATAAAGTTTTTAACTTTGAGGAGGTAATTTTTTGTATATGCGCACTCACGTGCACATATTTGTCTAAAATTATTTGCAACCAACAACATGGTTTTAGGTACATATTATGTGTGCGTCCCGAAGTGAATTTTTACTTTTACTTTTTTTACTTTAACAAGAAAGAATTAATATGCTTGTGTGAGTTGAGTGTATGTCAAGAAGATGCTTAACTTCTTCACATACTATATACTTACACTTGCATTATTTATTTCTTTTTAAAGGAAAATAAAAGCAAACATTCTTTTTTCAAAAGTTACGTCCTCATTTGAAATGTACGCACCGCTCCGTCTTTATTTGTTTGTCGACTATGCAATATAAGGTAAGATTAAAGCTTTTTAAATCAAGATATTATACCAGCAGCATTTCTAACACTATCAGTACTCTCCTTTACTCACTCCAACGAAGATTAAAATGTTTATGCTAGGAGTGATTCACGAATTAATCGAATGATGAATTCGAATCCACAACTTTTTTAATTTCGCTTCATTATTAGGCTACTATCGTTTATAAAGTATCGGCTTATAAACTGTGGGACACAAGCTCATTATTTTAAGAGGTTTATTATATTATATATAATAAGGGTGACAAACGAGCACACAATCCACCTGATGGTAAGTGGATACTGTACCAAGGAGACATCTACATCTACACTCGATTAAGAATTGAAATGCAGATGCGTTATCAACCCTTAGGACTAAGATGGTATGCCTCGTTTCCGAAAAAGATCTCCGGTTCTCTACAATCATATACAAAACAGTAGCATTAAGCTGCAATTTTACGTTGGTAGCGAGGTCCTTCCCTGGTCGTGCCGAGCCATTTTTGCTACAACCAGTGTACTATCTACTAGTCTACCGCTGAACGAAACGTGGATGGGACGCACACGAATTGAATTGCACGAATGCGACTGGAGATCCAATCAGCACGTGCGAACGATACGCACGAGCCAATCAGAGTGACTTATGCGCAATAAGCCAATCAGCGCGACTTATGCGCAATAACGGCCACGGCTAGACTTTCGTGCCGCTACTTAAATACATGGTACACGTAAGAAAGATTGATAATAGACTGGTCATCTGCGCAATACAGGGTCATATTATCTAGAGCACAAGTGTGTGCGCAAACACAGGTAAATTGAAGATGCACTCCCTATTCTCACCTTTATCACGACCGGAGAAGAAAGATATAGATTAGACCGGAACCCAACCGGGCCCGACTCGGGATTCAAACCCAGGACCACAAAATGTCAGCTGTCGCGTTTGTAATATAATAATAAACAATTTGTGAGGTTAATAAAAAAATGACTGCGATGCTATGACGTTGACAGGCTTGACATGACCTAGAAATATATTTCTTTCCGGCATGTAGATTTCCTCACAATGTTTTCCTTTAACTCGGCGCAGGATTTTTTAAAATTATTTACAGCTTATGATAATAATAAATTTATTCATCAAATCAAATATGTTTATCTCTGCTTGGCCTAATGGTTGACTGGGAGAGAATGCCTTAAGGCATTAAGTACGCCGTATGTACGATTTTTCTTTTGTGCATAAAAGTTTAAATAAATTTTTAAAAAAATCATAAGACTGATCATCGGCCTCCCCAATAGATTGCCTCATAAGGGGACATTAATTTGCTATTATTGCTTGCAACGCTTGGCAGGCAGGTTGGCCACAACGCCTCGTATGTAATTAGTCAAAAAATAATGATGCGGAGATTTTAAGTTATGCCGGGGATAGAACTAGAAGGAATAGAACGGGTTGCTTGAGTACTATGAAATAAAAAGGTGGATCTGTTCTGCCTTTGAACATACCCACAGTTGCATAATCATCATGGGTGGGTATATTGTACTTAAATTCGTGCATAATGCGGCCACTGTGTTATGCAAAACGACCGATTGGTTAACCCGTGAAAAGAGTAACTGTTTATTAAGTCGCGGTGAATTGGTTCAAATTGAAATCATTATTTGTGCAATGACACAATTTTTTAATTACATTATCATCATCGTCATCGCAGCCCATAAAAGTCCACAGCTGGATGTGTGCCTAATCCGTCATAGGGAAGATTTGACTCGCGCTTACCGGAGGGA